ACTACTTCCAGTAGAATTTTAAAAAAAAGCTTGTAATTTATGTATTTACTTATTTCTTTATTTAAGTACCCTCAAGGCCTTGGGACATTACAGAGGGGAGTGGTACAAGACAAATATGAAACACAAACAATATACAGACACTAAAAGCCAAGCACTAAAAATGTAAAAAAGTGTAAACAAGTTAAGAAATTTATAGAACAAGGCAAACAAACAGCGAAGAATATTAATTAACATAGGTAAGCGGTCAACGCACTTTTAAACAAGTCAAAGGACGGTATGCTTAATAATAGCGTGAGAAGGCGATTCCACTCTGAAGATATTCTTGCAATAAAAGAGTTATAATAAGGTTAGGTAATGCAATGAGCAATTCCGACTTTAAATTGATGATCTACGCGCGGCGATATGAAAACAGGATTTAACATTAGTTTGTTTTTAGCCAAGTATTGTAATGATACATTTTATAAAAAATGACACAAACGAGATATTTTTCGGTGTAATGAAAGAGCAGGAAGTGATAAATTAGTTTTCATAGCTGAGACACTAGATGTGCGATGAAAGTAAATATAAAACAGGCACCGAGATTCTGTAGGGCTTCAACATTAGTCACGAGAGTTGAGAGACCTTGATCCCATATGCTGCAGCATAGTCTACTGGGTTTTTAAAGGAGAAGCCAGGCTCTTTAAATCGACCGCAAAATTCGGTTTCTTAACCTATCGCTCTACGACTTAGTGCAGCGTTGCCCACAAATGGTGCATTTTGTTTGTAAAAATTGCAAACAGCGAACTTACCTAAAAAAGATGTAAAGAAAGAAAATGGCTTAGCTCCTACGGAAATGCGGCGAAGCCAAAGGTTTTTAAACAATACGGCGCCGTTTCGCACGGGAGACAAGAGATGGCGCAACAAACGCCGCCAACGAATGAGCATACGGCGCCGAGAGCTGGCGTCTGTAGCAGACAATCTTTTCGACTCAAAAGTGGTGCACGTTCCGTAGGCGGCGACAGTCGCAGAAACAATAACAGGCGCGGTAACAACAAGGAACTGCGGTTTCTGCAGTTCCTTGTCTGCTAAAGACGCTGGCTCTCGGCGTCGTATGCTCGTTCTTTGGCGGCAGTTGGCATCGCGACTGCTTGCGCCATCTCTTGACTCCCGTGCGAAACGGCGCCGTGTTGTTTGAAGACCAGTGGCTTCGCTGCGTTTCCATAGGAGCTAAGCCTTTCTCTTTCTTTACGTTTTCCTCAGGAAAGTTCGCTCTTTGCAAATCTTACAAAAAAAAAAAAAAAAAACGCACCATCTGTGGGCAACGCTGCGCAAAGTCCTAGCGGGATAGGTTAAGAAACCGAATTTTGCGGTATATTTAAAGAGCCTGGCTTCTTGAATCACCCTGTAGTTTCGAACGGACAATGGTTTTATACATTAGTAGTTTTAGGGACACTGGGGCTAACCTAAATGTTCTCTTCAGGTAAGCAGGCATGGAGTTAGCGTTGGTGATAATGTGGTCAGTATGAGTTTTCCATGACATTTTAGAAGTGATGTGCACCCCAAAGTACTTGTAGCATGGTACAGTTTCAGGAGGAATTACAAAAATGAGCAAATAGATGATATAGTAATTCGACGGAAGATATTCATCGCTTTACATTTGTTAGTATCAAGGGACATTAGCCACAAATCGCACCAATCAGTCACAGCTCGTAAATCATTTTGAAGAAGGGCGATGTCAGTGGTATTAGTGACTTATCGATAAATTACACAGTCATCAGCGAAGAGGCTAATAGATGACAATACACACAGTGGTAATTCATTTCCATAAATTAAAAACAACAGGGGCCCCAAAACAGACCTTTGCGGTGCACCAGAAGTAACAGGTTTCATAGAAGAATTTGCATTGTTAGCATGAACGAACTGAGAACGATTAGTTAAAAAAACATGTAATCCAAGACAGCACGTTAGGATTGAGATTGAGTTGACTGAGTTTAAGGAGTAAACGTTTATGAGGAACTTTGTCGAAAGCTTTGCAGAAATCTAAAAAAAACACAGTCAATTTGGGATCCACGATCAAGTATGGAAAGCACATCATTAGTGAAGGTCAGTAGTTGAGTCTCAGATGAAAGGAATTTACGAAAGCCATGCCGGGATGGAGAAAAGAAGGATTTAGAGTCCAAGTAGTTAACCAAATGAGTGAATATTATGTGCTCTGAAAGTTTACAGGGTGTGTTGATTAAGGAAATGGGGCGATAGTTAGGAGGGCTCTGTTTATCGCCATGTTTATGGAGTGGAATCACCTTTCCTATTTTCCACTCCTCAGGCAATACACCAGATGCAAGAGATTGCTAAAAAATCTTGAAAATGTAAATTGCGATATAATTTTTAGCATTCTTAAGGAGTGTGGAGGGGACATTGGTCTACTCCAAAAGACGAAGATGTTTTTAAGTTATCCCTCAACTTTAAAATTCCGTCATTGTCAATTACAATAGGATCCACGGGCAAAAAGTTATAATTAGCGTTGTTGTAAGTTTGAACCCTGACTCGGAGCTCGGGAAGGCAAGAAAAAAGAAAAATACAAGGAGACGCGAGGCTCTTTAAATCGACTAGAAAATTCGGTTTCTTAACCTATCGCGCTACGACTTTGTGCAGCGTTGCCCACAGATGGTGCTTTTTTTTGTGTAAAATTTGCAAAGTGCGAACTTACCTGAGGAAAAAGTAAAGAAAGAAAAAGGCTTAGCTCCTTCGGTCGATTTTCCGGTCGATTTTCCGGTTGATTTAAAGAGCCTGGCGTCTCCTTGTATCACCTAGTAGTACAGTGACCGAAGACACAGTGACTCGAGTAGGTTCAGCAACAAGTTGTGTTAATGAAAAATCCGAGCAAAGATTGAGGAAATTAGAGTAAATTGCAGAATTGCAAGTGGTAGTTGGGAATGCTCCTGACCAGTCGATTAGGGGCAAATTGAAATCGCCAAGTAAAAATAAAGGTGCAAAAGGAAACCTAGATGTAATTGTGCAAAAAGTATCATGCAAGGCACAACAAGAGTTTGTGGACGCATTAGGCGGACCATAACAGGCACACAAAATAACATTTCTATGGGCGTAGATTAAACACACGCACACCAGTTCAAGCTGGGTGTTAACGCTTACTTGGTAACATTCAAGATTTACATTCACTGCGATAAGGACACCCCCCACCCCCCCCCCCCCCACCCCTCTCCGCCTATCAGGTCCGGTCACAGCGATAAAACCTATAACTATAAACACAATAAAAAATTTAATTATCGCGAATAACACTCTAAAGCCAAGTTTCAGTAAGAATAACAACGTCACCCGACGCCGCGCCAGTGACGGAGGACAAGTCATCGCGGTTGCGGACATTACTTCTTATGTTTGTAAACAAAGCTGAAATATTTTTTGAAAAAGATTGGGAACGAAATGGTTTCTTAATCGCGACATGTTACAACTTCAAAGTGGCAGATTTGTTGACGCAGTGTTTGATTCGTTCGGGCTGCCCTCACAGATTTGGTTAGTCTCGTAATTGAAAATAAATAGGTTATTCCCCAAATGTAATCTGTCAAACGCAAAGTTTGTAAAGGCCTCCCTGGGGGGCTCGGGCGAACTGTAGAAGCATTTTCCTGGCAAATTGATCATTCTTTGGGTAGTCTTTGCTAACCGACACGTTGGTGTCTTTTAGCTTGCGAGCATGATCTCAGCACAGTTTCTTTGTGTTTAAAAAAAGAAAATTTAACGATAATGGGTCGGTTTTTATTGGGATGAAACCTGCCGATTCGATGGGCCCTCTTAATCGTGTCAGGGGTAATCTGTATGCCTAGTTTATCACTGCAAACGTCAAGAACTAGTTTTTCGGATCCCGCCCACGATTCCTTAGCAGCGTCCTGAAGCCCCCAAGAAAGTAAGTTCGATCGTCGGGAAGTGCAAAATATGCCCTCGAGCTTTACTAGGAAAATTCATCTGTCCATTCTTTATCGAAGAAACACTGGTGAAAAGCCATTTACCGTATTCTCCGGTCTACAAGTCGCGCCCTTGTATAGGCCAACACGCTGTTTACAAACAAGCCCACACAACATCCGGGGAAACGCGCAGTTTCCTCACAAGGTGTGGGCACTGCGCATGTGCAGAAACCAGATTCGCGTAAAGTGTAGCGTCCGCGCATGCGCCCTGCCAATAGCAGTGCCACCGTAGCGGTGCGACGTCAAGGCCGCGTTTTGGTGTACGAGTCGCACTTCCGTGTATTGCACCGTTTTCGCGGAAAAGTTGTATAAACTCGCACTGCATTGCATGGTTCACGTGATGAATTATCTTGTTTTACGCATATCACTATCGTGAAATCGATGTTTTGCACAATCGGCTAGTTTGCACAAACCATGCCCATTGCACGGCAATGTCTGGCGGGGGTAACCGAGTGCTTCGCAACCACAGGACGTAAAACATAAAAAAATGAAAAGGTAGTCAGCTTTATTTAATCGTGCACATGCCGAGCGAGTAGAAGTTTAACGTGCCAGACACTCATGAACCAAGCTTTGGACCACCAGGCCTAGCCTAGACCATGTTACAGAGACGACGCGAGTATCAACGCACAGGCTGATGGATAAATCTTGACACACTCCTTTCGGTACCGCTAAAAGATCAGCTGGCCGCAATCCTTCCTTTCACATGTTGCAACACGGCTGGAGCAGGGCAGATAAAAACTGCTCCTCAAACAGAAACTAACTAAGAAGGACTTGAGAATTTTTTCTGCAATGAGGGTATGTCAGCCCACTTACCTTTCAGTGTTACTGGACTCAAGCAAAATAATACACAGCCATGACTGAATTAGGCAACGTCGATCGCATGCTTTAAAAGCTTTATTTTAAATTTTTTTCTTGTATGAGTTGAATATATATTGAATGATCCCACAGTCTGGTTTTAACAGTCGTATTTATTTAAACTGTTTTTCCGGCCTTTCTTTTATTTCTTGGACTCAGTATATAAGAAATGCAAGAACGCTATTTGTTGATTTATGTCTCACTGTCAATCCTCTGAAACTTAAGCCAAACGCCATCCCGAGGTTTGCAGAAGACAAAAGAGGTGGACAGTTTGAGATGATCTTCCTGTTTAAGAAAAAATGAAGTGTCATCTTAGACTATAGTTCCGGGCGGTTTAACACTAATGCTTCTGAAGTTCGATGTAACAAAAATCGTTCACTCACCAAACTAGCCATTGGGGAGTTTTAGTAGATTGTTTCGATAACTTCGATAACGATATCCGTACTCCGTACACGCCTTTGTGCATGCATCGCGTCGTTATATCGGGTTTCATGATCGGAGGTGGCGGAACGATCTACTAAAATTCCCTGGTATCCCTTCACGTGAACGTAACCTGAACCGCAGCCGCTAGGCTGCCTCTCTCAATTACGTAAGACAGCGAGCAATGACAGTGCGTTTATGGTCAACATCGACAGGCATTTTGTTTTAGCTTTACTGCAATGCCTCACGTGATCTCTAACCGTTGATGATGTTGCAAACGCCTCATCCTATTTATTGACCCTGCGATTGTGGGCATTTGTAAATGTTGTTTGGTACTCGAGAATGGCAACTTTACAGGAACTAATACTTGTAGACCATACAACAAACTCCAAAATGTAAAACTTAAAAAAATAATAGTGAGATTTGAGTTTCGGTATTTGCTTTGAATCTTACTGTTGTGTAATTTTGTATGTTTTTGCCTTCTTCGGGGGTTCGATCACCTTTACGGCACAGCGCGTGCCCCCTCCCGGGGTCGATGGACCTTAAGCGAAGGCGCGGGCGTGAACGTTGTAACCCTACACGTGTTTATAGAGCTCCGCGTATAACTTCTTCGTCTACAAAGGTGCTTTGTATTATTTCAGCTGCTCTTGACAGCTTCGCTCGGAATGTGTTCTTTTTTATGTACGCGCATTATGCCGTTAATGGCACGTCCCATCCCGTGTCGTCGACCTTTCAGAGTTGTACCGGGAATCGGCTATTGTGGACACGAGAGGTATGTCAAGCATAACTGGAGTCGGCGGCGGAGGGCCGTTTTGTTTTGGGTAGCGCCAACTGAACTCGTTATTTGACTTTGCTTGTCGGTATAGGTGTAGCCGTACCATGGAGACGAGAATGCGGGTTAGAGGGAGAGAGTGAAAGGGAAAAAGAGATGAGGGTAGCTATGTTGGGAGCGGGAGAGTTGAGAGGAGGGAGTCGACTGGACAGACTTGAGTGGAGACACATTGAGAGCGATGCAGGAGGAGTTGAGATAAAAGTCCCATCGAGAGCGATGCGGAAAAATTAAGTGGATAAAGTGCGGAGGTGTCACTTAGGGAGACAAACGGCAGAGGCTATCGAGTATTGAGAACTAGCGAACTTTGACTATGTTGCAGTGTTTTGTGTATAATACCTATATATTAAACCAAGTTATTCAACCCTAAAAGTCTACAATTCCAACATCACTAAAACCAATAGAAGAGACCCTTGACCGGCAACCGGCGACAACGACGTCAGCACAGACCCCGAAGACAACGAGCGACTTCACGTCACGAGACGAGACCAGACAAATACAAGCGTTTACACTTACCCTGCAGTGACCTTTGGGAATATTGCATTTCTTAAATATGGTGGGGGCAGAAATTTTAGATTTGTCAAAAGGGGTCCATAGGCATTAGTATAAACAAATATATTAGACCTATGAATAAAATGTATATGTTACTGAGCTTCTAAGTAGGAGTACCTAACATTGTATTATTGTCCTATATAATTATTCTGGGAATATGATGATTTATGCAGTTGTTAAGTTGAAATTATATTTCTTTTTCAGTTTTGCTGAGAACATTCGGGAGAAGGTGCTATGACCGAATGACCCAGAATGTTAACAATGACACAGTTTGAATGAAAAAAAAAACTAGTTAGCTAATTCTCTAAAATACGGATATCGTTAATCATTGCACATACCTCGACGTATCTTTCGTCGGGAATGATCTTGTACTTCACTAAAATGTTGGCAAACGTCAGCTTTAGTAGCTGTTGAGCGTAGCGCATGCCGATGCAGCTCCGTGGACCATTGCCGAATGCTTGGTATGCCATGGGATTAAAGTTTCTTCCGTTATCATCACTAAGCCTGCAAAGTAAGGAAATAATAAAATAAAAGATACCAGCTTGCTTACATAGTGTCTAAAAAACATTTTCTTTTTGTAACGTCCAGATGACTTTATAACAATTATGTATTAAAAAAATCTTATTTTCCACTATTTTTATTTTCACATATGTTTTATTCCATTTCAAGTTTTTTTATGACGTGGACGACCTTTGAGCATATTGAAACCAGACCAATATAGTTGTTTTTTTTCCTCGACCTAATACATGCTGAAGATATTGTCACGAATGGCAAGTGATGAGGTGACGAAAACTGAAGTAAACTAAACGTTTAATGGGGCGAACTTGTGCCCAAATTAATCAAAGAAAAAGGAAACAGAAGAAAGCAATAGAGCGTCGCGGGCGTCGAAGTCGGCGTGACAGCAGAGTCAAACGCTGAAGCGAAACTGACTGCAAAGCGCCCCGCGCAGCTCCTTATGTACGCGCGTTGGCTTCTGGAACAATCGACCTAGAACGTTCGGCAACGAGAAAATTCGGAACTCGACCAGTCAAAAATGTTCTCGAACTCACGAGAACGCAATGTTGAGTGAATAAATAAGAAAACATTTCACCGACTGGAACCGAACCTCGACTTCCCGCGCGACAGACAGGCGCGGTAACCACTCGGCCGCGCACGCGGTCGCTCGCCCGACGCGTGTGGCAATGTTTTTAATCATTATTTATATTCTCATACCAAAAACTAGTATTATTAATGCGCTTTTTTAGTAAGAGATAATTGTGTTGTGCGTATGCTTATACAGACTGAAGTTAGTCTGCCTCAACGGATGACTGGTCTCTCAGTTGTTGATGAGCAATTTAGCCAGTGTAGTACAACCGCTAGCCTGAGGTCTTTAATATGCACCACGCAGGAGCGATGCACAACCGCACGCCGGTGCGAGGCTCATCCAGATCGAAACGGGTAGGGGTGAGGACTGAGCCCAGGATCCCTGGGTTCCTTATCGCGAGCTTTCCCTCCACGTGCTCTGAGCTGGTGTGATCTAGCCTAGACTCTAGCCCACTGTCACGGGTGTGCCACTAGAAGGAAAGAGGAAGAAGTGAAGCAGTGGGCTAGAGGAAGAGAAGCGGTCGAGATCTTTTGGAATCGGCTGGAGCTTCCGGTCTCGGCGACGCACCGAGCCAAGGAACGAGGTCTCGGCGACGTACAGAGCAAAAGACGAGCTCTCGGCGACGCACCGAACAAGGAACGAGGTCTCGGCGGCGCACCGAGCCAAGGAACGAGGTCTCGGCGACTCACCGAGCAAGCCTGGGCTACGCTCCGAGGAACTGGACTCAGCCTGGGAGATCGTTCCGCCAGTCCGGCATCCGAGCGTTGAGCCCCAACACCCCCAACCACGAGAAAGGGTCCGTGAGTGGTTGGACTGGGGACTTATCACGGAGACGGGGACTTACTTATGCACTACTTCTAGTTTCTTTTTCCTTTCCTTTCCTCTTATTTTGTAAATATATTCCTTTATTATCATCCTCCACTGGCCTTCTTGTCCCTACTGACTCCGCGTACCTCCCCGACGTCACAAATTGGCGAGCCTGCCAGGATCCACCATCTTTCCATACACTTAATCACGCCGGGTTGGGTGCGGACGGGTCAGTGGAGCCGAGTTGGACGTGATGGATACACCAAGTTTGATTGCGGTAGGAAAAGAGTTGGGCTACCAGGGAGACGAGCTTAAGAAACGGGTGGAGGAAGAAAGAGAGAGACTTAAAGAGGAAAGAGCCGAGAGGGCACGGGAGCGTGATGTGGCAAGGCTAGAACGAGAAAGCGAATGCCTACGATTAGAAAAAGAACAAGAAGTACTTCGACTAAAATTAGCTGTACAGCAAGGCGCGGCGGCCAGCTAGGAGGGAAACCATAATAGCGGTGAAGCAGAGGCCGGCGGTCAATTACAACGTGGGAGACCGCACAAGCTCATCCCTCAATTTAAAGAGGAAAGAGAGGATTTGGACGCCTATCTGAAGCGGTTCGAGCGAACAGCAACCGGACTAGGATGGCCGCAACAGAAGTGGGCGACAACTCTTGGATTGTGCCTGACCGGGGTAGCCCTGACTGTGGTGGGGCGGCTGTCCCCCGGGGACGCACTGGATTACACGCGAGTAAAGCTGGTCTTACTTCAAAGGTTCCGCTACACAAAAGAGGGGTACAGGGAAAAGTTCAGAGAGGCAAAGCCAGAGGATGGAGAAACAAGGAGGCAGTTCGCCGCACGTCTAGCGAGTTATTTTGATAGGTGGGTAGAGATGGCGGAAGTAGCAAACACTTTTGAGGCCCTGCGTGATGCGGTCTTGGTGGAGCAGTTCCTAGTAACGTGCTCTAGCAAGTTATCAGTATTCCTCCGAGAGCGAGAATGCCGAGACTTTGACGAAGTGGCGTCAAAAGCAGATGTATTTCTTGAGGCGCAGGTTCAGCACGGCACCAGCAAGCTCAAAGGTGACGAGTCAGCTAAGAATTCGAATGCGGCATCGCCCAGAGATGCAAGAACTAGTGCAGGCAGAAGAGTGTTGCGTTGCTTTCTTTGCAACAGGATCGGCCATAAAGCTGAAAACTGCCGCAGTCGTCCGCCAAGGCTTCAAACCCCGAAATATTGGAACTGTGGTAGGACCGGGCACTGGGCCGATGGCTGTACGTCCAAACCAAGCGACAGACATCAAGCGTCGTGCTTGTGGGCTGACCTACGGGGAAATAAGTCAGCCGAGATCGATGACGGCTTTGTTACCCTCAGGAACTGAGAGAAAATACCCGTTGTCAATACGGTAGTGGGACGCCCTCCAATCTGTCTAAGTGAGAATTTGCCAGTTGTGGAGGGATATCTGGGTTACCGCAGAGTATCGGTATTGAGAGACACGGGCTGCAACACAGTTAAGTATATAGAAATCATGCTTATTAATTAAGGGGTTTTCTTTTGTTCAGAAAGTTTATCTTTCCAGAGTTCAGTCGGCATTTCTTTTTTCTTTTTAAGCTTTCTATGTTTGTGTCGGCGGGGGCAGAGCGGCCGCAATGCGGGAACCGTCCCCCGCGGTCGTTAAGAAGCGTTTCGGGTTTCGGGAGTCTGCTCGGACCGGGACCGAAAGAGCCCGCGCTGGAAGATGCTCGTGGCTTATAACCGAATGTGCGTGTATGCAGAGGGTTTTGCCGCTTAGTGTAAAATTGTCCTTTTTGCTTGATGCAATAATTTAGCGGTTGGCGCCAGTCAGGCTGGAAAAATTGCAGAGAACAACTCTACAAGGAATTTAGGTTTGGCGGTTGGGGCGCCAGGATGACAGCTCGCCGACCATTGGAGAACTGTGTACCACGTGTGAGTGGCGGAGTTTGACTTTGAACATGACAGCTATCACGGCAATTTTTCTTTTGTGTGCCCATTCTGGTGTGTGTTGGACGTTTTGCCTGCGGTAGCCGTTTTAGTGTTTCTGGTTTCGGAATTGTAATAATTTTCTTGTTTTTATCGGTGCCGTTTGATGTTGTTGACATTTACGAAGGAGCGCTTGGTGAACCTTTAGAGTCTAAAGTGCCGTTGTTTCTCTTGGTTAACTCTGGGCCAAGCGGTCAGTTCGAATACTTCCCAGTGCACTATTCGGGAAAGGTATTTATGTTGCGCTTACATGAAGTGTCAACGCAACAGTCTTGGTGGGGAGTAGTTAAGTATATAGAAATCATGCTTATTAATTAAAGGGTTTTCTTTTGTTAGGAAAGTTTATCTTTCCAGAGTTCAGTCGGCATTTCTTTTTTTTTTTTTTTTTAAGCTTTCTATGTTTGTGTCGGCGGGGCCAGAGCGGTCGCAATACGGGAACCGTCCCCCGCGGTCGTTAAGAAGCGTCTCGGGTTTCGGGAGTCTGCTCGGACCGGGACCGAAAGAGCCCGCGCTGGAAGATGCTTGTGGCTTATAAGCGAATGTGCGTGTATGCAGAGGGTTTTGCCGCTTAGTGTAAAATTGTCCTTTTTGCCCGATGCAATAATTTAGCGGTTGGCGCCAGTCAGGCTGGGAAAATTGCAGAGAACAACTCTACAAGGAATTTAGGTTTGGCGGTTGGGGCGCCAGGATGACAGCTCGCCGACCATTGGAGACAGTGTACCACGTGTGAGTGGCGGAGTTTGAAGAGATTGGTCGGTTCCTGAGGGGAAAGGAGGCCCCTACGGGCCTACAAAAAGAGCGCGGAGAGGATTTTGAGGGATTCGGACTTTGGATTTGCTGGAGAGAACTTGGGGACGGGGGTCGAGACTTTAGACGAGGAAGGATGGTCTCCCAAGTTGGGACTTGTAACTAGAGTGTAAATAAATGCACATGGTTCTATTCAAGCAGTGAGTCGACCCGCCACTCAGCGACGTTCGTGCCACCACGCTCCAGACCATCGGAGCGGAACCAGCCTCCCACACCACCGGGAGGAACAACAACAACAACTTTAACTAACACGGTAATAGTTCGCCAAGAGTTGGTCGCAAAAGAAGCGTTGACAGGAACGCTGAATCTTGTGTTTCTGTTGGACAAGACGGTAAGATATCTTCCAGAAGCTGAGATTGTCGTCCGCACGCCATATTTTACGGGAAAACTATTCGCAAAATCCGTGAGGGATCCTCTTTACGATCTGGTGTTGGGCAATATACCGCCGGTACGAGACGTCAACGATCCAGATCCAAATTGGGGCTCAGAAAAACAATCGAGCCAAACTGATGTTATAATGTCCAAACCTCTTGATGAGGGAGAAAATGGAATGAGAGTGGGTCATTTAAAACAAGCCCAGGTAACGACCAGACAAGCGAATTCGTTGGGAGATGGTGAAAAACGGTCCCTGAACACAGCAGGAGCGGTGCAGGCCAAGACGAGTAAGAATCAATCGCTACCACCGCCTCCTGAATTAAGAGTACCACAAGTTTCACCCTTGCATACCACCTCAGAGGAGCTGCGAGGAGCGCAGAAAAATGATTCGACTCTGAAGAAATGCTTCGACAGCGCCGGAAAGATCGTCAAAAAGCATAAAGGAAGGACGAAGTATGCATTCTTTATGAGAAGCGGGGCGCTGTACAGAGATTGTACGTACAGCTCGGGTAGAAGAACGGAGCAGTTGGTGCTTCCAAAGAACTTCAGGCAAGCGGTCATGGCGATGGCTCATGATGGTTTGATGTCAGGGCAACAGGGGGTAAATAACACCGGGGGGCTGGTGGCAGAAGAATTCTTCTGGCCCGGAATGCAAAGTGACGTTAAGAGACATGTTCGCTCGTGCGACATCTGCCAGAGAACGGTGCAAAAAGGAAGAGTGGACAAAGTACCTTTAGGGACCATGCCAACGATTGCAACGCCTTTCCAAAGGGTGGCCATTGACCTCATCGGCCCTATCGCCCCAAAATCAAGCTCGGCAAAGAGATACATCTTGACAATGGTGGATGTTGCCACCCGGTACCCGGACGCAGTGGCTCTGGAATCAATCAGTACGCCCGTAGTGGCAGAGGCTCTGGTTGATATGTTCTCGTGATACGGTGTACCTGAAGAAGTACTGAGCGACCGTGGCTCGCCCTTTTCCTCAAATTGAATGAGGGAGGTGGGTCGTTTGTTGTCCATGAGGCACCTTTTAACGACACCCTACCACCCAATGTGTAATGGACTAGTAGAACGGTTCAATGGCACGTTGAAGCAGATGTTGCGTAGACTGTGCCAAGAGAGGCCAAAAGATTGGGATTGGTATTTACCCGCACTACTCTTCGCTTACAGGGAGGTGCCGCAATCGAGCTTGAGATTTTCGCCGTTCGAACTTTTCTATGGAAGGAGGATACGTGGTCCTTTGGCCATCCTCAGGGAAGTGTGGTCCAACGAGACCTTGAACCAGGAGACGAAGACCTCGTATAGATACCTATCGGAGCTCCGAGAAAAACTAGAGGAAACCTGTCGAATAGCACACCAATGCTTGGAGGAGGCCAGAGCGAAATACAAGGCATTTTATGATAGCAAGAAAATCCACCGAGAAATGAAAGCAGGCGACAAGGCACTTATCCTTCTACCGAGTGACAGTAACAAAATGTTACTGCAGTGGAAGGGTCCCTTCATTACTGGAAAACGAGATGAAGTGGAGTATGAGCTTGAAGTTGGGGGGAAAAGGAAAGTCTTTCATGTAAATATGCTGACGAAATATAAAGAGAGAGCAGAACTGGATCAAGCCCAACCGAGCTGCAGCGCGGCAACGGGTAGCGGCATGGCCAGGACAGAGAGTGGGGAGGAGGATGTAGACGAGATTCCCACATTGACCCTGACCAGACAACAGACAGAGAAGGACGTGCTCGTCAATCAGGCACTGCATCCAGTACACAAGCAACAAGTTTTGGATTTGATTACAGAATACAAATCGATTTTTTAGGATTCCCCAGGGAAGACAAGCCTACTGAAATGCGACCTCATGTGCACCGTGGAGTCGCCCATACACGTTCACGAGATGGTCGAGAAGGATATCGAGGCGATGTTGTCGATGGGAGTGATTGAGAGATCCAGGTCACCGTACAACGCACCTGTCGTGATGGTGAAGAAGCTTGACGGTACGAGCAGGTTCTGCATAGACTTCAGGAGGTTGAATGACCGGTTGGTAGCGGACTCGGAGCCCATAACACACGTGGACGTCACCTCTGCAAAGGTGGTACGTAAACGGTTCTTTTTGAAAACTAGACCTGGCCAAGGGCTATAGGCAAATACCGATGAAGAAAACCGCTAAAGAGAAGACCGCGTTCTCTTCGTTCAGCGGGCTGTACCATTTCAACTTCATACCCTTTGGACTGAAGACTGCGTCAGCAACTTTCACAAAGTTGATGCGAATGCTGGTGGGTGACATACCAGATGCTCATCACTACATCGATGACGTGTTGGTAGCAACGGACACATGGGATGAACACGTGCACGCGTTAAGGAGCGTGTTTGAAAGGCTCCGTGATGCCGGTCTCACGGTGAAACCAAAGAAGTGCGAGGTCGGATTCGAAGAGATGGGCTTTCTGGGGTACAAACTGGGGTTGGGTCAAATAGCCCCAAACAGAGATTATAACGAGAATCCAGGACGCGCCGAGACCGACCACCAAACGTCAGGTCCGGTCATTCCTAGGACTTACGGGATTCTACAGGAAATTCATACCCGACTACGCAGGGGTGGCTGCTCCCTTAACGAAATTGACGCAGAAGGGAAGTGACAGTAGCGTCAAATGGGACGAAGAACAAGAAGGGGCTTTCTGGAGGCTCAAAGCGGCGTTGGCGAAGCCGCCCATTCTTCTAGCTCCAGACTTAGGCAAGGAGTTTGTTCTGCGAACAGACGCCTCGGATGAAAGTGTGGAAGCGGTTCTTTTTCAAAAGAAAGATAAGCTGCCACATCCCGTTGCCTACGCAAGTAGGAGACTTTCTAAGGCAGAGAGAAACTACGCGACGATTGAAAAAGAGTGTCTGGCCCTAATTTGGGCGATAGGACGGTTTACACTTTATCTGTAGGGTACTAAGTTTCGGGTACAAACGGACCACCAGACGTTGGAATACTTCAATAGGGCGAAGCACACCAACAGTAGAGTAATGCGGTGGAGCATGAAGCTGCAAGATTATGATTTTTATGTGGAGTATATCAAGGGGTGTGATAACGTCGGCGCGGACTTTTTAACTCGGATTTAAGACGGGAACCAGGGTTTCGGAAATGATTCTCAGATTGTGTAGACGCATTGGTTCTTCTTTTTTTTTTTGTCGGGGGTGGTGCAAACTAATCTCGGTTGCATGCCAGGGCCGGGGTTCCTTTTTTTTTTTGTGGTTGATATATATTTGGTTTGTGTGTGTGTGACTCAACCGGAAAGTTGATCTCTGTGGCATGAAGCTGGTCGTCGTGTGGTACATGTGAACTTGAACAGCAAACCAGGTGGTGCCAGTAACCAATGCTGCTGTGAATTAAAACGGCCAGAGCGCATGCGAGGCGCGCGCCGTTCCACGGCATTAAGCGGAGCTAACGGAAGACTCCAGGAAGGTGGAAGATCTCAAGGCGATCTTCTCAAAAGGGGGGAGGCAGTGTCACGGGTGTGCCACTCGAAGGAAAGAGGAGGTGAAGCAGTGGGCTCGAGGAAGAGAAGCGGTCGAGATCTTTTGGAATCGGCTGGAGCTTCCGGTCTCGGCGACGCACCGAGCCAAGGAACGAGGCCTCGGCGACGCACAGAGCCAAAGACGAGCTCTCGGCGACGCACCGAACAAGGAACGAGGTCTCGGCGACGCACCGAGCCAAGGAGCGAGGTCTCGGCGACGCACAGAGCCAAAGACGAGCTCTCGGCGACGTACCGAACAAGGAACGAGGTCTCGGCGACGCACCGAGCAAGGAGCGAGGTCTCGGCGACGCACCGGGCAAGCCTGGGCTACGCTCCGAGGAACTGGACTCAGCCTGGGAGATCGTTCCGCCAATCCGGCATCCGAGCGCTGAGCCCCAACACCCCCAACCACGAGCAAGGGTCCGTGAGTGGCTGGACTGGGGACTTATCACGGAGACGGGGACTTACTTATGCACTACTTCTAGTTTCTTTTTCCTTTCCTTTCCTCTTCTTTTGTAAATATATTCCTTTATTCTCATCCTCCACTGGCCTTCTTGTCTCTACTGACTCCGCGTACTTCCCCGACGTGACACCCACTCGGCCATTGATACCCCCTCCCCTCCCTCTCCCTCCCTCCCTCCCTCCCTCCCTCCCCTCCCCTCCCCTCTCCTCTCCCTCCCCCCCCCCCGTTGTAGGTGATAGTAAGGTAAGCGGACTGTACCTCTCAGGGCAAAACTTCTGAGGATCGTCCCACAGCTCCGGGTCGTGGTGTATTTGATGCACAGGAATCACAACACTCATTTTGGCTGGAATCCGGAGTCCATTGAAGCAGCGCTCCTCTTCACACATCCTGGTGGTGAAACTGTTGAATGAACGTCGTTTAAAATTGTAATTAAAGAGCGTAAGGTTTTATTTCATAACGTTCTGCTGCCATTTCCCCCTTTTTTAAATTAAGCCTCAATTTTTGTTATTTCATTGGCTCGCAGTTGGTGGGTGAGGCGTTTAATGAATATCGCTAATTTAATTTATATATAATTTGATTTTTATTATTTTTGTCTCTGCGTTCGTTAATTTTTCATTAATTTTCTATTAATAAGCTTTCCGCATAGTTTATGTTTAGATATTTTGTACATTTTTCTCCATAAAATAAATTAGACGCCAGTGTGTCTCCTAAACAAATGAAAGATGAACATTTATTTTGGAAGTGTGCTTCACATTTGAAGTGCAACTTTTATATGTACTCTTCGAAGTTGCGGTTAATTATCGCCCCCCCCCCCCCCCCCAAGCTTGAAAGTACATAATCATAATGATCGTTTATTTGTTCTTGTTGACAGCCGTTCTACATGTTTACACCTATTTACACGTTGTACTACGGCTGGGAAAAAGAACAGGATCACAACCCACGCGAGAACATCACGTACAGTGGAGCACGCTCTTTCGCGTGCCTGCGGAGCCCAATCTTTCATCGTCTGAAGAGCCACTCAGGGCATTCGAATCGCATGGCGACCATCGCCGGGTCTGAGCCCGCTGCACTCATCCCATTGACGCACCCAACAGGCGCAGCGAGTGAACGAGCGATCGGTTCCCGCCACAGAAAGAGGGGGGCGGGAGGGGGGAGGATAGAGGGAGAGAGAGAGAGCGCGTTTTGGTTTAGTTGTTGTGCGAGGAACGACAATCGGGAGGGGGAGCAAAAGTTTTCTCCGCGATCCCTCTTTGGGTTCAAACATCGCTGGTTTTCGCCGAACTTCACATAAGAGCTATCGCTACAAAGAAGAATTTTGTTTATTGTAGACATTTGGGGGGTTACATTTTCAATGCTCCACAAAATCTGAGTAAAAATGACTAATAACATTAGGAAGAAGAAAAATATCTAAAACTTGTAGAGACATTAAAAGCTTCGGTTTCGCTCGTCCACACGCTGAGGCCGTATCCCGAGCCATGAGGTCGAATTACTTTAAACCTAATAGAGACAGGTTTTCTTCGTTCATCTACACTTGCTGTTTCGCAGCTCCCCAACCAATCTCCTCATTGCAGTCGTAGACGTCAGAAAAAGGCTCGCGTTGCCACTCGAGCAGAAGGGGGTAACCTGAAACCACCAGGTGGCTCTCCCTTTTTCCCTCAGCTGAATTGAACTGAATCATAGCTTCCACTAGTACTATACACTTTCCTCTTTGTCCTAAGTCCTAAGATCTAAACTCGGAATCGAAACAGCGTCTAGCACACAACGTTCTCATGAAAAGCCACATACGTTGGTGATATACAGTGAATCTTTAAATTTCAGGGCTCTGGGACTAGGTAGACTTACGTGAAGCTTTTTGAGGCGTTTATAATGCGTAAATGCATTAAGGCACGAAACACGTTTTAACGAAATTCCTTAAAATAAGAGATTTGTCCATACGTCGGTATGTTCCTCCGTTCGTGCATTTTCCCGCTAAATATAACGGGGAAATGGACGCCACGTGACTTAAACGTCAATTTAGTTTCCCCGCTAATCTGAACGGAAAAATTTATGTGAATTGAATTTTCCAGCTAAATTTGGCGTGAAAATGAATAAGCAATCTTCGCTCCTTGAAACGACTCTTTTTGTACATACTGTATTCCACGCTTCGATAAGACGCGAAGGCGGATATTGAATGGGAACGCGGGCTGAGTTTCTCATAAAATGCAATTCGCTCTATGGCGGTTTGATCGAGAGATCAAAATACGGTCGCAATATGGTTTTCATCTGGATAACAAATATTGGAGTTTTTCAGATAAATCCGCACTCTAGTAAACTTTACCGGCAAGTGTTTTTTTATTATTTTATCTTATTATATAACACAAAGCTCTAAACACGTGGAAAAAAAAATACAGGACACTTAACACTGTTTTTGTGTAGGAAGACGGTGCAGAACTCAGGGATCCTGGGTTCGAGCCCCACCCCTGCCCGTTTCGATCTGGATGAGCATCGTACCGGCGTGCGGTCGTGTATCACTACTGCGTGATGCACGTTAAAGACCCCAGGCTAGCGGCTGTTCCGCACTGGCTAAATTTCTCATCTACAGCTGGGAGACTCGTCGCCCCTATGAGGCAGACCAAGTTCTAGGCTGTATAAACACACACACAACCCAATTTTTTTTTGTAGGAAGACGGAATGGTGCATTATAGTCCCGCGGCAGAAATGTTATAGAGTAATGCTTCTACACGTATTACAGTTTAAGACGACTTCGTAGAAGTCGAGGCCAAGTACGGCGTCAAGGACGACGTTCAGAACGGCGTCTAGGACGACGCCGAGGACGATCTCACGGGCAATCTCAAGGGCAACGTCAAGAACAGCGTCTAGAACGACGTCAAGAACTACGTCTAGGACGACTTCTAGGACGACGTCTAGGAGGACGTCGAGAAAGACGCCTAGAGGACAACGTCTGGGACGACGTTGAGAACGGTGCCTAAAGGAGGACTTAAAGGCCGACGCACCAACCTCGGTTTTCTGCAGGGAAGATAATCCGTTTAGTGCTCCCCTCCTCTAAGCTGCGAGGGAAGCCAAGTTGGGACGAGGTAAAATGTGGAAAGGATATAGGAAAGGAGGAGGCGGGTAAAAGTGGAAATTGCAAAGTGTACGTCGGGGGCCTTTAAGGAGGTTGTGGCGTATTTGCCTGGGCGGTCACGTTTGCCTGTGGAAGCCGCCATAGATGTAGACGCTGCTGACGTTTTGAGGCCGTAGATTAAAACGCGGTCCATCGCACAGAGAACACAACGAGCCAGATGAAGTCCGCAGCGCACCTTTTGCACACGACGCTACAGCTGTGACATCACGCTCCCGCACTTGAGCGCGAGCGTGAGCGGCGCATGCTTGATGACGTATTTTTATGGCCGTCTTTCGGGCACAACGACGCCGCTTTTTCGCGTAATGGGACAAGTAAGGTCATCCTAGAGGTCTAGGACGATCTATAGGACGACCTCAAAGACGATGCCAAGGACAGCGTCGTCCTTGAGCATACAATTGAGTGGTGCGTCTCGCTTTATTGTAATTCTATGGCCATATACGCCGCTTTTTGGCTCAGTGGGACCAAGCAAGGCCTTCGGCTTAAAAAAATAACTTCACAGTGTTCGTTTTCACCGCAAAAATAAACTTAGAATCACTGAATGCTCAATCTCTGCCCAAATGTACCGCTAACGGCTCAGACCAGATTTCAAAGTTCCAGTATCTTAATCAAAAGTTATAACATCTGAAATTTTCGATCGGAAAATTGGGCCCGTACGCTGTTAGTTGACGTCATTCACCGACATGAATTCGGGGGATTTGTCGGCCGCCATTTTTCCATTGAAGGTTTTTAAAAATCGGTTACAACTTTTTGATAAGATAACCATTGGTTCTGAAACTTTAGCATCTGTTATGGACGACGAGCCCTACATTTGGGCGCACACTGAGCGCTCGGCGTTGCATTGATAATTTTTTTTTCTTTTGGGGGAAAACAACAACAAACAAACAAACACTGCGTATTTTTCGGGAACACCCAGAGAAATTCTCAAGAGTTTGCATCACCTGACCAATGGCGGATACAAGCGGACGGTTTCCAGGACCACTTGATCCACGTATCGACTCCTGAGGACGCTTTCAGTGTCTATGATTCCCTGAAACCATATTCAAATCGTAGATGGACGTGAGCTTCACGTGTCTAGCTCAAAGACTTGGACTAATATTTACGTCTGAGTTCATTGATGAGGCGACCTCACTCCTGAAGCGTTCCTGTACATCCGGGTGCTTTGCCAGGAGAAAGGCCATGCATGCCATCACAGCGGGTGAGGTGTCATAACTGCGCGCAACAAACGAAACATATTTTTTTACAGGACCTTTCGTGTCATTCCTGTCTTTAGTTCGAGGGTCACGAACTGCTTTCAGTATGAAGTCATGACTCATAACCTCCTATAAAGGAGGAAAGCCTGCGGCATCCGCGCCCCCTTATCGGGTCGTCAAAATAAAAAAAAATGAAAGCCGTTTACAATTCCCTGTAACGCCGGTTAGAGCGCAGCTCTTGAGGAGGAAGGTGGAAGCGTAGTGAGGGATAGGTGACTCCTTAAGGTCACGTGACCTCAGGGGTTCACGTGACCTCAGGGGGTCACGTGAACCCCTGAGGTCACGTGACCTGAAGGGGTCACATGACCTCAGGGGGTCACGTGACCTCAGGAGGTCACGTGACGCGACCTCGGGGGGTCACGTGACCTCGGGGGGGGGGGGGGGGTCACGTGACCTCGGGGGGTCACTTGACCTCGCGGTTACGCCGACGGCGACGCCGACGCCGCTCAAGCCGGAAACGGGTCCCTAAGAGCTGCTCTCTAAAAGACCGAACTACAAACAAATGAAAGTCGCTTACAACCCCCAGTAACACCGAATTAGAGCGCAGCTCTTGAGGAGGAGGAGGGAAGGGTAATGCGCGGAGCGTATACCCCTCCTCCCTCCACCTCATCCTGCCTGCTACTCGTCCCTCCGAGCGGCGTCGGCGTCGCCGTCGGCGTAATCGTGAGGTCACGTGACCCTCGTGACCTCACTGGGTCAAGTGACGTCACCGGGATCACGTGACCTCACGGAGGTCTCGTGATGTCACCGGGGTCACGTGACCTCACGGGAGTAACGTGACCTCACGGTTACGCCGACGGCGACGCCGCTCAAGCCAGAAACGGGCGCCTAAGAGCTGCGCTCTAAAAGAAAAATCGTTTGGAGGCTGGCTTTTTCTTTTTCGTGTGGCCAGCTTTCCAAAACACTCCTCTCATTTCGTTTTTAGCAAAAACGAACTAGTACGTCAGTTCATCCCACCTCGACGGTGCGATTTGCCCTCCTCTCTCAGTCCCTCGGTCTGTCTTCTTTCTTTCACTCCTTCTCGTCCGTGAACACCTGTCAACTGATGCACACTGCATCCGCGTGAGCGCGTTTCATCTCGTTGTGGCGGTGCGGCACTGCTAACCAGGTAATTCTAGGTAGTTCACCCTAGATAGTTCCAGAGTATCCGTATTGACCTTTCTAAAAAGAAGCTGCTGGCCCGTTCCATTTTAGTTTTCGTGCGTATGACGCGTGATTTGCTCACTTTCCGAAGCGACTAACATGCCCGTGCTAGGCTGAGGAGTTCGCACTCTGGGCTGTGGACTTGTAAATATTGGAATGGTATATAGGCTCTGCTTGCAGAGCCAAAGTATCACGTTCCGTTTCTTTTCGCCGCACACTCCGTATTAGCGGAGAAGGGGACACGTGTGTTAAGCTGGATCCAATCATCACGCGGGAAAGGGACCCTGCAGGCGCCGAGTTTTGGGCGGAACATGTTTCTCGCTTTGCGTTTGCGAAATATACATCCGACACTAAAATCGAACGAACTGGAAGGTTCATTGATCAGTGAACATTATGTGTAGCCAATGGGTACGTCATAATCACGCTGCTTTATAACCCGAGCGATGTTTTAAGACTTTTCCAAACTCTGGGACGCAGATGACACGGAGGACGATCGGAGCACTTGCGTCTGGGACGCTCGCGCAGTGGTTGATACGCGACCGGCACGTCCGGGTTCCTCAGACCAGACGACAACGCGCAGCTACGGCTTGTGAAGAGACAACATTTTCATCATCCCTTCCCTTCTTTTTGTGGAACGACATGCAAGTTGTAGTGCTCAAATTGTATACACAAAGGCGCTGCTTACGAAAAAGTCAGCAGTTTGCCCACACCTGGTGTGGGCAACGCTCGTGCGCAGAAACCGTGAGCCAGATGGGGTGAAGCGACTGCGCACATGCGCCGCGCCGACAGCAGCGCCCCCATCAGCAGCGCGGCGTAGGAGCCGTGAGTTGGTGTAAGTTTCCTCGCGTTGTTAAGACACGGACATTTGGTTGATCTATTAGTCACTAGAACACTCTGAAGCTGCAGAAACCGCGAGCACACATAAGATATCGTACTCACCTGTCAATTAGAGCGCTGTGTATGTTTGCTTGGATTTCGGAAACGCTGAGGGTTCCCCTTTTTCCTTCATCCAGCTTAAGTTGAGCCTCTGTAAAAAGGAGGTTTGAAATTAATCGGGATCGCCATTCAGTGTATCGCCGCACTTTTCATCGCTGTTGTGCAAACTTGTATTAAAACTCCATGAGACCGAAATAGGCTTAACGTACTTCCCTGCATGTAGCCCACCGACTATACATGTTTCAGAATTTGACGGCTATAGTAGTGAGGACTATATACAGGTGCGGAGAGTACAGGGATTTGTATCGCAAATATCGTGCAGTATAACGAGACAAGACCAATTTCCCAAATAATATGATTTATGTGTGATACCAGCTTCTTTCTTCACACATGTCAAGGTTTCTTTACACACCGACGAGGCACCAGGTACCGACTCTACACCGGGTCAGGTCTACGTACCAGGCGTCGAACAAAGTGAAACCTTTTATTTTTTTTCATCGAGAGTTTTCTTTGTGAACATAAACTGGGTAGTGACTACAGTCAGGAAAATACGGTACGTTGTCTCTTTGATGAAACCATTTATGTAAGCGTCCCACTTTAAGCGTGACAGTATACTCACGATCTAAAGGTGCGGTGTCGTCGCTCATTGCAAGCCGCTGGCTGGTAGCGGCAGCGCCAACGTGAGACTGAGGCGTCATCAACAGCTGCAACAGGTCATCCTGACCTCCCTAAACTCGCGCAAGCGCATATAAAATCAAAAGGGAGTTAATTTTACGAGTTATTATAACGATGACCGTCTGGCTTCTGGTTATGACATACATGTTTGTGTTTCCTTGTTTGCAAGCATTCTCCCCCTCTCTCTCTCTCACGAGTCAATATAGGCACTGACAGGGTAAGAGCGTCAGGGAGGTGTTTCAATGGCCCCGCCTGCAGCGTTAGCCTCCTACCTTCGCTAATGCTTTGGTCACTCGTAAGCCATGAGTGTACACGCACTGGCGGAGCACTGAGAAAGGCAACCAGCGTCTTCTGGAGGCGGGGCGTTCGAAAGACGCTCCCTGCCGTTCCCATGCCCTCGGTGACTGTCACGAGCAAACGAAGCGCGAAACCCCAGCACGCCCCTAAAACTACCTAATTACTCAAGTCGTTCTCTCGTATCTTCAACAATATTTTTGGATCACATAAAGTGTATGCTTTTAACTTCAACATCACACCATCCCATTGGGAAGCTACAGCATTTTCTCATAGATTTTAATAACGGAAATTTTAGCTGCCTAAAGACTGATCACCATTTGTAATGATTATCGAGATTGGTACGTCTTTAGAAATACCTGTGTTGCTGAAAGAAGATTTTGCAAGCCGAAATACGAATTTTATGGTTTTGTGTGTACAAGCTTTAGCAATGTCTGTGTTGCTAAGAGGAAAGTGCGCAAGCCGAAATGCGAATTTTTTTGTTTGGTGTGTACAAGACGGTTTTTCTTGTTTGTTTATGTATACAGGGTGCTTTCTCCAAGACGAAAAATAATAAACGTAGAAAAATGTTTGAACAGCAGTAGAGGCTTTAATACACGACGTTTCGGAAAGAGACTTCCCGAAACGTCGTGTATTAAAGCCTCTACTGTTGTTCAAACATTTTTCTACGTTTACGACTTTCTTGGTGAAGACTTGTTCATTAATACAGTTAACGAAAAATAATGAAATACACTCAAAATAATCCAATCATTTTTTTAATAACGGTATCGATTACGGCAGAAGTCGGGGTACGAGTGTAAAGTGACACTTAGCAAATTAATTACCCAAAATTTACAAATTACTTTAATACAATGGCTTTAGTTGAAACGTTCGAATTTCATGTGCTGCATCTCGTGAAACTATATGCCATAGGAGTTTGAATTGAGGAAACAAAATGCTGCTCCGCGGCGCGCTTCTTTTCTGCAGACTTAACCGTCGGTTTTTGAGAAACCGAAACAAGACTCAAAAAGAGTGGCGGATGTCCCATCCGGAAGCGACGTAGCGAGCGACCGCGTGCCGATTAAGACTTTGTCACATTAAGGAAACATGGCGGCTACAGCGACAGAACATCTTCATCAACAGTTTGTCAACTTGGTTCTCGGCCACCCTGTTATCCGAAAAACCTATCACATCACGAGAACACCAGCACAACACAGGCGACAGCAACGTTGTTGCAAGGTATGACAGCTTTCAGAAACAAAAACAGCAGCAACTTTTGTTGGACGGCGCGTGTTGCACAGATTGGTGGATGAGCAAATGTGGGACGTCAGTACGACAACAAAGTTTTGATGGTAGCGTGCGCAATAAATCAGGCGTTTTTTCTAAGAGCACATTTAGATAAAGGCCTGGAAAACACGATGTAAAAATAAGTAAAGAAGGGGTGCAAGCACTTTAAGATTAAAAAAAATTGTATCTCGTCATTTTTACGTTGTTTATCGTAGGATAAAAAAAAAACATTACCTTCATTGCACAAGGTCGTGATTCTGCTGCATAATCGCAAAGCAAAAGTCGAGCTTTTTCTCCCACATGCAGCTGCGAGTGGCAGCCGGAAAAACTACGTCGAGAAGCTTACGTGACCTCGCTCGGCTCTAAGCTGCAGCATAACGCTTGCTAATGTCAGCAGAGAGAGGATGCGTCCTCCGAGAGAGCACACGGGAAGCTACACGGCACCCCAAATCACGTCACTAGAAGTGTGACCAGGTGTGACCCCAAAGACTGGTTATGAATTGAGAGGTGCCAGAAATGCCAAAATTTATCCTTTTTTTTTACACAACTAGGACACGCAGGCGAAATCGGTTTTCTGTTTTTTACTTCACTCAGAAGTTTCAGAAGGCAACTTCCACAAATTTCTGACCGAAGTCCGGAAATCGTTGCACCAACGCTCATAAGGCTGTCGTACAACTAAAATACAATATATGATTAATGTTTTACTCCGTAATTACGGAAATGGTTTATCGAAATGGTCAAAGCAACGGTCGTGAACGCTGAAACGGTTGTTGCAATTAGAACTGCCTATACACCAGCTCACATTATTGTTAGATAAATATCATGCCTACTAAGCGTTGATAAACGTTTATAAATATCATGCACGAAAGCGAGTGATGTAAAAATCGAAGCATGAAAACGACCGCTCTGATTATGACTGTTGATGCTTCGAACTTGAAAACAGCCGCTGCCAGACAGCTGAATTGTTTCAAAACTTTCCGCGACCTTCTCGGGAATCAAGCCATCATATAGCAGGGGGTTAAAGGTATCGTTGAAAAATGTATATTCGACCGATTGTTATGAAGGCCGACCCTCTCGTTGTCGCGGTTTTTAAGCACTATGTGTTCACTTGAACAGTTCGCTACAAAATGCACTTTGGGTTACTGTCTGTGCTACCTTAATTTCACACAAACAAAAATAGGAATTCCATGGAAGATATAACCGGACAGAACTACTTCCTACGATGGCGTAAATCATGAACATAGCAGCGATTTCACCTTCCTCAGTTAGCGCTTGCTGCTTCATCAGCAAATGAATAACATTTTGATAAAATAAAGTGGGAAAAATACTTAATTTTTAAAGTTTTCTAAACACAGTCACTGGTTGATGTCGTTCCGAGGTAATTTCCGACCCTTCAAACGCGCTAGAACTTAGCGGAGTCACATTTCCAGCAACGCCGCGCGGCACACGAACGAATGTAAACAACAAAGAAGCGAAGTGTCCCCCGTGTTGGTCCCGCCGTCACAGATTTGAGAAGGTTTTCTCCAGCTGTTGGACAACAAATCGGCGAACGCGGTTGCCGGGGGAGAAAGTCATGTTGTCCGACAGTTGAGGCGGCCTCAATGTGACAGGAACGCCGAAAGCATGTTTCCCCCGTATTGATGGACAGAGTTGTCCGACTGTTTCTTCAAACTGACAGCGCTTACGCAGCCGTAGAAAAGTTCCGCCCTCTGCTGTCTTGTAGGGTGCTCAGCTTTGGGCGTTTTTTACAGCGGAGTTGTTAAGGGCTAGTTTCACCAGGATCGTGTTCGCCAGCAAATAAAGGTCGACAAAACACTCCGGACAGCTACCGCCATTAATGAGCGACGGCGGCAACCTTTCCAGCCTTTCCACTTCAGCTTGCCGACTTCCGGCCGGCCAATAGTTCATTCCCACCATAGTACAGCTTCGCTGGTCTTTCTTCTTCACCAGAGTAGAAAGGCTAAATTTTTTTTATTTTTTTTTATTTTAATAGTTTCGGTATGCCAGTGAACTTAAATATCCTATTAGGCACGAAGCTTCTTTGTAACGCTATGAGAGAGTTTGGCACGAAACTACAGGGGGCGCTAGCGTCGACAAGAAGGCAGAGCCGTTTATACTGAGAAAGTTTGGCCTTCTTAGGGAGATTTTGACAGTCTGGCAACCACTGCAGCGTAGACTGACTACACTGGGACGACTACTTCCGTCCGCCGTTTTGAGGCTCTGACTCAGACGAACTCTATGCGACTTCGCAGGAATAAAGAGGAGGAAGAAGTAACGCTATTTTGTGTTATCGGGAAATCCGCTTGTTCTAGCTGCCAACAAGCTCCGCCCACTGGCCAAACTCTCTCGGTATAAACGGCTCTGCAAGAAGGCTAAGAGCCGCCACTGCTAGGAATGGGGCAACCAGAAACTGGGATCGTAGTTTCGAACCCACTCCAAATGAAACACCAATAGATTGCGGTGAAGCGTCATCGCACTTGAAGCCCCTTGATAAAGGCGTTCCTTACAAGTATCGAAAACCATTGTTGTGGAAACGCGCAAGACACGTGCCACAAGCGGGTGCTCCGCCGCCATTCGCTTCCAAAAGCGGCTCACTTCCTTTATTCATTTCAGTGCTGCGGCGCCATTTGCTTCTAAGGGCCGCTCATTTCAGTGCTGCGCCGACATTTTCTTCCAACGGCCGCTTCAGACATGGGCCTCGTACACTGTCGCATTTGACGCTACTTGCAAGGCAACCGCAAACACATCGATAAGCTTTAATCGCACGGGCTGTATTTTTCGTTAACGTAATGCCCGTGTCCCACTAGAGCGACAGACAGAAACAAAAGACAGCGACAAGCTTCAAACCCCTGCAGCATGCTCGCGATGGCAGGAGCGATTGGAATGCTGCCAAAGATACTTTCACGTGCATGATGCTCGTGTTTGAGCATAGCCTCCTTTACTCTAAAAAGCCTCTCAAATCGTGAAAGACTCTGGTTTGAGGC